CACTAGCCTGCTTTGCCCAGCTACGGAGCTGAAGCAATTCCCAGGGCTGCATCTGAGGAAGACATACTGGAAAGGCAGACTGGGCAGCCACCAGAGCCCTGCTAAAATGAATCCTGCTCCATAGAGTCAGCCCCTCACTGGCCAGCCCTCACAACCTCTCCTACCCCATCCTCTAAATTGCCCGAGGATCAGTCCCACTGAAGTACCAACAGCAACCAAGGCTCAACTATACCAGGAAGGCACACACAACCTACACAAGGGACATACATTGAGCACCACGCTCAGGTGACCAGGGAAGACTGTGTTACTGGGCCCCACAGGACGCCTACTAAGTCACTTTAGTAAGACCAGGCGACTTAGGAGCCTTACTTAATACATAGAAAATAACACAGGGAGGCAGCCAAAATGAGGAGACAAAGAAACATGCCCCTCATGAAAGAACAGAATAAGGCTCTAGAAAAAGAGCCAAAGTTGAGACAAGCAATCTACCAGATGCAAAGTTCAAAACACTGGTTATAAGGAGACTTGATGAACTTAGGGGAAGAATAGATGATCTCAGTGAGAACTTTAACAAAGAGATAGAAAACATAAGAGAGAACTAGTTAGAAATGAAGAATACAATATCTGAGATGAAAAGTACATTAGAGGGAATCAACAGAGTAGATGGAGCCGGGGATCGAATCATCAATTTAGAGGATGGGGTAGGAGAGGACACCAATTCAGAACAGCGACAAGAAAAAATCAATCAGAAAAAATAGGAATAGTTTAGGGATCTCTGGGACAACATCAAGCACAACAACATTCCCATCATAGGAGTACCAAAACCATAAGAGAGGAAACAAGAAATTGAAAACCTATTTGAAGAAATAATGACTGAAAACTTCTCTAACCTGGTGAAGGAAATAGATATACAAGTCCAAAAAACACTGTGAATTCCAAACAAGATGAACCCAAAGAGTCCCACACCAAGACACATCATAATTAAAATGCCAAAGGTTAAAGACAAAGGGAGAATCTTAAAAGCAGCAAGAGAAAAGCAATTAGTTACCTACAAGAAAAGCTCCCATAAGACTGTTAGCTGATTTCTCAACAGTAATTTTGTAGGCCAAAAGGACTTGGAACAAAATATTCAAAGTGATGAAACTCAGAGTCTACAACCAAGATCACTCTAACCAGCAAAGCTATCATTTAAAATTGAAAGACAGATAAAAAGCTGTCCAGACAAGAAAAAGCTAAAGGGGTTCATCACCACCAAGCCAGTATTACAGGAAATGTTGGAGGAACTTCTTTAAGAAGAGGAAAAGAATATGTACCAAAAATATGAATAAAGAATGGCAATAACTACATACCTATCAAAAATTACTTTCAATGTAAATGGATTAAATGCTGCAATCAAAAGATAGGGTGGCTAAATGGATTAGAAAACAAGACCCTTACATAGGCTGCTTATAAGAGACTCACTTCAGATTAAAAGACACACACAGACTAAAAGTAATGGGATGGAAAAAGATATTTCATATGGACCTAGAGAGTATTGTGCTGAGTGGAGTAAGTCAGATAGAGTAAGACACATGCCATATAATTTCATGTACATGGGGAATCTAAAGAACAAAACAAAAACAAACAAACAACAAACAAAAAACAAACTTATAGATACAGAGAACATTTTGAGGGTTACCAGATGGGAGGGGATTTAGGGGGTTTGGTGAAAAAGGGGGAGGGGATTAAGAAATACAAAATGGTAGTAATAAAATAGACATGGAGATATAAAGTATTGCATAAGGAATATAGTCAATACTATTGTAATAACTCTGTACAGTGTCAGATGAGGTGATCACTTCATGAGTTATATAGATGTCTAATCACTATGTTGTACATCTGAAACTAATATAATATTATATGCCAACTATAATTGAAAAATAAAAAATTATTTTTTTAAAAAAGAGAAGGAAATGGGGAAAATTTTTTAAAAATAAAACACTGGGCAGAAAGCTAGTCATAAAGGCATAGCAACAGCTCTAGAGCCAAGCCTGGCACAGAATCATATCACTTGTCTTTTTGAACAAACTTCCCCAATGTAGGAAAATGCTGCAAAACTAGGCAAAATGAGCAATGCCTCTGCAAACTGTGAAGATGGATTTTTTTTTTTTGTGCTGCTAAGGACAAGCTCCCTGGCATCTAGTTAAACAGACAGGAAAAACTGTGGTGGTACCTAGCAAAGATCAGTAAAGAACGGCTAGGCTTAAATTGTTTTCCCAAGCACCATAATCATTAAGATGATTATAATAATTAAGGCCTAATTTTCCTTATCTTTCATTCTCATTATAACCCTGCAAGGTAGCTCCGTTTTCAAATAAAACTGAAGCACAGGAAGGGTATGTGGATAGTAGATTGGGATTTGCACACAAGTCTGAAACCAAACTCCATTTTCTCATCTTATTGCTACATTATGTGGCCTTCCATCAGCTGATAGGTAGATATAATAAAAAGATGCTAGGGGCATAAAGACATGTCCCTCTTGTGGGATATGATTGGAATTTCACATCATCTATGTAATATCCTTGCCAAAAATGTTTAACTGGATTTTAATGATAAGAAACAATCTGGCAGATGGCAAACTGAAAGCCATTCTACACCACCACTGGCCTGGACTCTTCAGAAAAACAAGCTATATATTTTATACCAAACTTCTTGAAGCATATTAACAATATTGTGGCTATGTAGGAAGAGAAAATCCTTATTCTTAGATGTCTACTTAAGTATTTAGGGGTAAAGTTTCATGGCTGCAACTTTCAAATGGTTGAGGAAAAAAGGTGTGTATATAAACTAGGTAAAAAATAAATGTAGCAAACCATTTATTGATCTGAAATTTTTCAAGATAAAGAGTAGGAAAGAAAAAGCTAGAGACCCTATTCTGTTAGGGTAGAAGCCACCAAAAAGCTATGGAAGGATCCTCTTTCTTACATTGTGAACAATATTTGCTGTTTACTTCTTTTAGATGGAGCTAGAATCCATCAAGCTAAAAGATATACCTATTTTCTCCAGCAGAGCAAAGGAGTCAATCCAACTTGACTAAAGTGTGTGTAGAGGGAACGGGAGGGAATGAGAGAGGGAAGCATAGGCATTTGGTGGGAATAAGAAATTTATCGGATTTATCTACTCACATTTGCCTCTTAGTAATAGGCTTGATTTAGATGTTTGCTTGCTTTGAAAATGATTCTACTAGTTTAGATTAGAGGCTGGCAAACTTCTTCAATAAATGACCAGGTAAAAAATATTAAAGAAAAATTTTTTTGACTTTGTGGATGATGAAGTCTTTGTTCCAACTACTCAACTGCTATTGTATTGCAAAGCAGCCAGAGATATTGCACAACAATATGAATGTACTTTAATGACACTGAATTGTACACTTAAAATTTAAGATGGTAAATTTTATGTGTTTTACAATTTTTTAAAAAGACAAAAAGCAGTCATAGATAATATGCGAATCAATGTGTAGCTGATGTTCCAATAAAACCTTATTTATGGACAATGAATTCTGAATTTCATGATTTCCACATGTAATGAAATATTATTTTTATTGATTTTTCAACTATTTACATTTCAACTTAAAATGTAAAAACAATTCTTAGTTTACCAGCAGTACAAAAACAGGTGGTAGGATAGATTTATCCCAGAGATCATAGTTTGCCACCCTTATCTTAGAGAAAAGGGGATACATAAGGTAATTTAAAAGGCAGTGCTTATTTCTGCAATCTAAGGTTTTGCTATAACAAATTTTAAGGAGTTTAAAAGTTAGCATTTACAGAGACCTGAAAAAAAATGGCATAGATAATAGAGGCTTTGTTGATCCCTCTTGCGACCACATTAAAGTTGTAACAGAAACATGGAGCAAACAGCAGGCAAAGTCATTTGGGATCTAGATGAACAGAAGCACTACAACTAGGGAGATAAATAAGAAATCATTCTACAATGGTAGAAGGTAGGAGGCTGCCAGTCTCCAGTGGTTGAGTGGGATAGAGGCTGTGGCAGCTGCACACGCCTCTTAAAAGGGCTGTGTCCGCGAGCTGACTTTCACAGTAATGGACCTGCTTGCTCTGAGAAGCAGCGCCAGGTCAGCTGCACAGGGTGGGGTGGCACCAGGGATTTATAGGTGGACACTGAGTTGTCGGAGATCAAACCTAAGAACCATTAAACAGATGTATGTGGTTGTTTTAGTTTATTTCACATTTCTACTTCTTAAAAAAGGAGGGGGCTTTTTGGTAGGGAATCACCTTTTTATAAAAGGTCATTTGTGTTAAAGCTTACCAAAACTAATTTTACTAACATTTCCTTACATGGGTTTAGGGGAGAAATCTAAATTTCAACCTAATATTAATCCTATTCCTCAAATGCTGCAGTCTGAACTGGTTATAGCAGAAGTCACTCAGAGCTGGAACCCTTTTATCTAGCAGCTGGTTTCCAGTATTATGGGACTTCTAAAATAAGACAGGAGTTGTTTATTAATTCTTTCAAGAAGTAAACCCATTTATTCAGCTCTTTAAGCGGAAAGCCTCAAAATCTACAATAGCAAATTCTTTGATGTCAAAAGCTAATACTGCACTGCCAGGGAAGAACCAGCAGGGAAGGAAAGGGGAACTAAGAGAGGGGCTGGTTACCTCACAGCACATCCTCAAGATTACTTCAATAACCACTTTTAAACTTTATATGATTTGGGAAGGCACACAATTTGATCCCCTGACAACAAATCCCTTAAGCCCACCCAGGGTGCTTGCTGGTCCTGTCAACAAGGAAATTTGATATAAATGAATTTTAGCTTTTAGCTAATTTACCAGCCAGTGCATTCAAATATGTTTATATAGTTGACTTTCATGTCAGGTGGTTTCCAAAAAATTAAAGCAGTCCTCTCAGCACATAAAGTGACAATAAAACCGTGAAGCCAATGGACCTACTATAGTTCATTTTCTGCTTTTAAATGCAAACACATGGAACAATATCTATTTTCAGTTCAAAGTCATTTTTATTAAAGCCATTTTTATTTATTATATAGTTTGGTATTCAATAAAGGAAAACTTGTTCAAATAAGGTAATATGTTATCATCAGTATTTCCAGGTGATTGTTTACTCAAGTAACATAATCAGTAAATCCTTGGGAAGCCCATCTGTAAGAGAAAACATGAAGAATTAGCCAGGAAATAAGAAAAGGCAGAAATCTTACTAAAACTAACCTTCTTCAGAGCAACAGCCGAAGGAAATCACTGCGTCTGTGTAGCTCTTACTTAATCCTGCCTACAGTCAACTCACAGGGGACTAGCTCTGTGGTTTGTTGTTTATACACCTGGTGCTTACTGGGTTAGTCTTCTTTTCCAATCAGAAAAGTGCTGGGGAGTTGCCCTTTAAAATTTTTTTTTAAAAGAAACCTGTTATTGCAGCTAGAATATATCTCATATAACAAAGATCTTCCAGACTCCTTGGATTAATACTTGATAAAATAAAAATTAAGAAGTGTTTAGACCACCTCTTAAGAGGTTGCTTGTATGTCTATTTCCTTCATTATGAAATATGAACCACAGACAAGAGCTTCAAGAATTTAACTAGGAAATCCTCTATTTTGAAAATCTAGTTTTCTCCAAGTACTCACAGAAATTTTTAATAACACACAAAAACCTTTCCATTTATTACAAAAATGAGCTATCTGATTTCAGGGAGGTAGTGGTGATAAACAAAGATAAAATTAAGACTTCTGCTCCAAAAAGCAAGTTTTAAAGAGATCTCAAAAGTGGATTAC